AACATCGGTATTGATATCGGTTATCGGCTACATGAGTTTTAAAATATCGGCATATCGGATATTGGCCAAAATCGTGCATCCCTAGTATTTTTGTTAAATACCAGAATACATTTTAGTTATTTTTTTAAAGCTTTTGAAAATGTGATGCAAACCTTATCAGCAACAATGTGTGCTGTATGCACCAGTTTGGACTCTGTATGGATTTGCACACTGACTTACATGAATACAAAGACACAGCAGTCAGGGGCTGCCACCTTTACAGGCAATTATGACAACAATGTTCCTTGCTGAATTCTATATGCACCATTGTTCATCACATTAAGGTAATTAAGTATTTTCATAAATAGAAAAATATCTCTTATTACACCTCCGTTTATATTTGCTTTGAATGTATTCCTTTGGAAAATTAAAGAGTGCAGAGATTTTACTTTTAGAACAGTGTTGGTTACTGTGATAGTTTACCATGTCATAGGCGGTTAGCACTTTGCGTAGAAGCTCAGGCACGGGACCCTGTGCTTCCATGGTGGGATAGGTCTCGCTCAGGTCCACCGTCACCTTCAGCGATCGCTCACTGTTCATCAGCCAGGTAGATACGGTCAGGATGCACTGCTTCATGTTGGCGGCAGGAGTCAGGCCACAAAGCTCCTTGAAGGACACCATGGCATTCTGGTCAAGAATGAAATATAAAAGCAAAAAACCTTTCGTTACTGGAAATCAAATACAAGGAATTCTTTAATAATCAGGTAGATTTTGGTGAAACCTATTGCATTCATTAATTTATTATACAGTCAGCATTTTCATCGTTATCTAAGCTGCTTTCTGCATAAACTACTGACCTCTTTTACAGATAGGCCAACAGCTATATGATACGTAAAAAACAGAACACTTAAATGCATATTCTTAATAACACTTAACAATATTTACATTTTCATATTTTTTTTTTGTTTCTTACTGAAATTCAAGGTAGATATAACAGAATTTATGTCCCTTGTTTTTTTTTTTGTTTTTTTTTACATCTGCAGACTGAAATTCTCATCTCATCATCAATTTTTCATCAGAAAATGAATTGTTGACTCTTTGAACACCAGTTTGCTTTGAAATACTATTATTATCATTATGATATAAATTTACCACAGTGTTTGCAACAAACAACACCATGGCTTAATTACTGCTCTTAATTTTATAACCTTAATGAAGTAATGTTTTTTTATTAGGAGTAAAAAGATGCACAGATTAGATACTTTTTTCTTTCAAATACTAACCAAAAAAAGCATTTGTCTAGTGAATCGCAGCCAAGCCACCAGATACTAAGGTCAAAGATGAGCTACAGGGACAAAAACCAATGAAGTTGATTATGCAAGCTGTGAACATCAATGTTTTCAGTCAAAGTAATTATAATGATTTAATTTTCTAAACTCTTAACAAGAGTTACGGCTGTTTTTCTCTAAATTGCTGAGTGTGTGTTGAGGTGCCGGCCTCTCTGCAGTCTGTAACAGCCTGTGCTTATATCTGTGCATTGGTTTAAGTCAGCCAAGTTTGGATTGAGCCATTAATCGAATCAGCTGGCGCTATTGTAATCCTCATAACTTCACTGAACCATATAAAAGTTTTCAAAGGTGGAAGCGGTGTGTAGTATAGAAGTACTCAGAGTATAATAACCATAAACAGAGGTTTGGAAGCTCTGTAATGTTTTATTTTGAACCTCAGCAGCACAAACTTCATGTGCAGAAAAAAACAAATTTTTTTTTTTTTGACAAATGAAAAGTTGATTTATTTTTACAATTTAAATACTGACTGATTAGCTGCCAGCTTTGTTCTGTATGAGTTAATTTTTAGGAGATTTTCAAATGTGTGTCCTCATCCTGACTTCTGAATAATCTGATTCATTTGCAAATAATAAATGATTCATTTTATGTATTTATTGTCATGATGAAGCTGCTCTTTAAGTACATCCTTCACATTTCAAAGTACAAATCTTCAGCAGAATGAAAAATAAAAATAATAAAATAATTAAAATTTTTGTTTCCCTTTGTTTTTTATTGTGTGAATAGGTGGCTATATAAAATGTAAAAATGAATACACAGATCAGACATTCCCATCCGGAAAATTATACATGTCTGCAGTAAGAGGAATACAGGAGTTGTCTCAACATGCCTTGCTACTAAATCTAGATCTAATCATCAATCTTATTTTTCCTCAGGGGCATAAGTGGCTTTATTAAGTGCCACAGGCCTGCTGTCATTCGCACACCCTGCACCTTCTTCTCACATGCTCGAGAGTCCTTGAGGTAAACTAAGAACCAGACATTTTTCTCTGTAAAATATGTCATTAAAAAAAGGTAAACAAGTTTGTATTTATGTTGTGTGAATTTATGCGGTACAGTCACATTGCCCGCATAAGTTATTTAATACAGTTTCTGTGTGCTACTTGTAGCTGTTAACTTACTTCAAACAAGCCATCAATTTAAACCGATTTACACCTTGGGACATCAGCATTTTGTTATTTGTAGGCAGCGGTTTTGAACAGCAGAAAGCTCTCATTCTTGTTAACTGAATGCCCCAGGCCTCCCCCTCACTCTTTGTTTCACTCATCAAAATCCCTCTGCCAACCTGCTTTTCAACCCACATAAACTGCTAATCTTGATTTAAAGTCTCCACTGCAATTGTTGGCGTGGGAATCTGCCAATCATTTCAACATCAATAGAAAAAATTAGGATCTAAACCCTTACTGAAATGTTTGATTTACTGATTTCACCTAATCAAACACATTTTTAAATAAAAAGTTGCACTTTGTAAAAAAAAAAAAAAAAAAAAGTAAGTACCTATTAGACCGATTATGTTATTCCTAAGGACCACATTTGTGTAACCTTTTTGCTTTATTTATTTTTTTTTGCTGCTGTAAAAAGCAGAATTTCCCCATTGTGGGACAATAAATTCTATTCTATTCTATTCTAATAACTGGTTGCATCACTCTTGGCAGCAAACAACTGCCTAAAAGAATTTGTAATTAATGGTTAAGCAAATTTAGCATCAGAACTGGAGAATCCGGACGCATTCCTATTTGGAGGAATTGTTTTATTTCTATATTCTAGTAAATTTTTCTGACTTTATATCATAAATGCATGTCAGCTTCATTATTCTGCAGCAGAATCACAGATCCTTTAATCTTCAAAATGCCCAGAAGCATCCTAAACAGTGAAAAAAACAACCTCAGAATGTGGCCCTATTGCTGCAAAGCAAGGTGGCAATAAAAAACATCCCTGTGAAGACAAAAAAAACCCCCATATTTTATACAGCTGTGTATAAGGTACAACTCTACATTCCCAGTTACAGGGTTGGATAATTTATCAGTTTTATTGAGTGATTGAATATTCTGTTTATACAGATCTAACTTTTCGAAATCTCTGGATTTTTTCCCCCCACCAATCCAATGCACTCCTTGGGTTTCTGTAGCTTAAAGTGTCTGTAGTTTGTTACTTTATAATCTTAGATCTTTTCTCAAAGCTGATAAACTGCACTGTTAAGATTTAGTGTGTTCAATTTTTACTCCGTTGTGAAAGATGATTGTTTTACAAGCTCTTTTTTACAACTTGAATTCCATTGCCATTTAAATTTCAGGTTATCTTCCAGGAGATGATTGATTTAAAGCTATTTTTGTTTTCCAAGTAACATCATCTGTCATTCTTTTTTTTCATAGAATAGGGAATAAAGAAATGGATTAATTTGATTTGGTAGGAGTGAGATTTTGAAGCCATGTTGCCCAGCACTACCCAGCCATGTGTTTCTCTATGGTGATTGTTAATAAATCCTCCTACCTTAGAAGATGTGCTTTCCCTATGAAGCAGAACCTTTCTGAAGACAAAGAGTGGGGCAGGCGGACTGAGGTGTTAACTAAGTTAACAACTCATGGACCACCACTCTGGAATAATACAGCAGTCAGAGGCTTTAGATAAAAATCTGTGCGGATTTGTCTGTGTGTGAGATCTTTTGGCCCCTTAACTTGCCGGTGTTTATATCTCACTGTGTGGTGAGATGAAGTTATTACAAAGCTTTGGCATAATTCCCTGCATGTGTCTTTGACTGCATGCATAAATGTTTATAGATAATTTTTGTGCAATAAAAGTCATTCTGTTTCCAATTCACATTGCTTCAAAGCCCCAATGAGAGGCTTGTGTTTTTAATTACTCCCCCCCCCCTCTTTATTCCTCCTCCAACATTCCCCAAATGAGAGCTCTGTGTCCGGTTACAGCGCTGCTTTTGTTTCTTGTTGCCCAGCTCTCTTGTCTCTCTCTTCCTTTGCTTTTGTCTCTGCATCTTTCATTCCTCTCTGGCTTACAGCACTAATGTGACAATGATGGCTGGCACAGAGAAGGTTCAGTAAACAAGAATGAAACCCCAGCTTGGCGTCGCTCTAAAGACTTCATTCACATTTTGAGTGGCTGCACAAGAAACTTTTAGCTCCTACTGGAACAACTCATCTCCTGCCTGGATCCTCATACAGCATAACGCCTAGAAACCAAACACATATCTTAATTTGTTAATGTGTACAAAATCCCCATTTTTTTATTAGCCAAATTATTATTTTTTTGTTTGCTTTTGAAGTCATAAAGTAGACTTTATTCAGGTTATTGAGGTAAAGACACACCTAAAGCTTTTATGACATCAACTAAAAACTTTGTCTTAACATTTTCTTCCACTTTTTAGTCAGAAAGGTCAGGAGGTTTAAACCATTCAGGTTTTTTGGGTTTGTGTTCTTGGTAAATTAATTTCCTGAATAGCCTCTATGAAGCCTTCACATCTGACCTTTATTTTTGCATTTAAAAGGCACAAGTCTTTATTCTACAAATAACATGTAATTATCATATTTCAAACCAGCATCTCAATTTTAACACATCCATTTATTTCCTGAACCTTTATCTTAATTTCAAAAAGACAAATTTCCATTTCAAAACCTGTGAAAAATGCAGGCTGGTAAGCATTAGGTGTCGCCGCTAGCTTTATTTGATCAGGTTAACACAGACTCCCGTTCAATCACGCAGCAACATTTTTCATACAGGCTCATAGATTGGATCCTGAGGAGAACTATTATCACAGATGATTAATGGTAAAGATTAGATCTTATCTATAGCGCAGGGCAGGACTGTGATTGAATCCAAACTTAGCACTGGTTAGTTGATTGCAGTCGCAAATGAGTAATTGTCTTTAATTAGTTTGTATCAGATTTCATAGAAAAATAGACACTATCTGTCATCATTTGTTTTGCTCTCAAAGAATTCAAAGGCCTTTTAAAAATGTCCCTGTTTTCAGGAAAGGAAATTCTAAGGTTAATTTTTATGGTTTTATTTAGATATGAGGCGGTTTTGACTGCAATGTTATTTTTATTTATCTCATCTACAAGGTTATTCTTGAATTGGTAAAGATTTGTTTAAAAACCCTCTTGTTATTCTTGCACATAGGAAATGGATCAAATAGAGAAATAAAAATAATCGTCTTTATTGAAGCTGTATATGAACAGCTTGTTTCAGCTCCACCTATAGCAAGAAGCTGCTTTTTAAATTTGTTTCTTTGCATTTGTGTATAATTGCTCAAATGTCCAATGTTTGTGCAAGTAATAAAAAGCATCCAAAAATCTTTTCAAAATGACAGTAGCCATTAAGGTTGTGGAATGCTTAATTAAGAGCTGATGTTATTAGTTAGTTAAGAAACATGAATTCAGTTTTAGCACAAAGCTAGAGCTTCAGAATAAACTGGCAGTAAAAATTCAAGGTTAAGCTACTTTGGAAAAAAATATTTTTCTTTCCTCTCTATAACAGTACATATTTTTAACATATTATTCTAATAGAAGATACATCTTATTTCAATGTTAAATATTAAATAACCAAACACATTTATAACATAATCTGATGTCAACTGTAGGCAATAAAACATTTTTGGATTAGGGGAACGTGGCTTGGAAAAACAATTGAATAATGACCTATTTATTATATTATTTCTTTAGTTTCCTACAGTATAAATATTCAAAAGAAACACAGAGCAGTACAGTGAGAAAACAGGTATAATTACTGCATTGATATATACAGTGGGGAGAACAAGTATTTGATACACTGTTGATTTTTCTGGTTTTCCCACTTGCTTGTAGAAGACTGTACTTTTTATCATAGGTACTCTTCAACTGTGAGTGATGGAATCTAAAACAAAAATCCAGAAAATACAATGTATGATTTTTAAATAATTAATTTCCATTTTATTGTGTGAAATATGTATTTGATCATCTATCAACCAGTAAGAATTTTGGCTCTCACAGACATGTTAGTTTTCTTTAAGAAGCCCTCCTGTTCTCCACTCATTACCTGTATTAACTGCACCTGTTTGAACTCGTTACCTGTATAAAAGACACCTGTCCACACACTCAATCAATCACACTCCAGCATCTCCACAATGCCCAAGACCAGAGAGCTGTGTAAGGACATCAGGGATAAAATAGTAGACCTGTACAGGGCTGGGATGGGCTATAGGACAATAGGCAAGCAGCTTGGTGGGAAGGCAACAACGGTTGGTGCAATTATTAGAAAATGGAAGAAATACAAATTAACGGAAAATCTCCCTCGGTCTGGGGCGCCATGCAAGATCTCACCTCGTGGAGCATCATTGATCTTGAGGTAGGTGAGGAATGAGCCCAGAACTACACGGCAGGACCTGGTCAATGACCTGAATAGAGCTGGGACCACAGTCTCAAAGAAAATAGTCTCAAACACAACGCATGTCAAAGCCCGTCTGATGTTTGCAAATGACCATCTGAATGATCCAGAGGAGGAATGGGAGAAGGTCATGTGGTCTGATGAGACAAAAATAGAACTTTTTGGTTTAAACTCCACTCGTCATGTTTGGAGGAAGAAGAATGATGAGTACAATCCCAAGAACACCATTCCAACCGTGAAGCATGGCGGTGGAAACATCATTCTTTGGGGATGCTTTTCTGCAAAGGGGACAGGACGACTGCACCATATTGTGGGAAGGATGGATGGGGCCATGTATCATGAGATTTTGGCCAACAACCTCCTTCCCTCAGTAAGAGCACTTAAGATGGGTCGTGGCTGGGTCTTCCAGCATGATAAGGACCCAAAACACACAGCCGGGGAGGAAACATCTTAAGGTCCTGGAGTGGCCTAGCCAGTCTCCAGACATGAATCCAATAGAACATCTTTGGAGGGAGCTTAAAGTCCATGTGGCCCAGCGACAGCCCCGAAACCTGAAGGCTCTGGAGGAGATCTGTATGGAGGAGTAGGCCAAAATCACTGCTGCAGTGTGTGCAAACCTGGTCAAGAAGTACAGGAAACGTCTGATATCTGTAATTGCAAACAAAGGTTTCTGTACCAAATATTAAGTTTCATTGTTCTGGTGTATCAAATACTTATTTCACACAATAAAATGGAAATTAATTATTTAAAAATCATACATTGTATTTTTCTGGATTTTTGTTTTAGATTCCATCACTCACAGTTGAAGAGTACCTATGATACAAATTACAGTCTTCTACAAGCTTTGCAAGTGGAAAAACCTGAAAAATCAACAGTGTATCAAATACTTGTTCTCCCCACTGTAAATATTCTAGGTGTGCTGTTTCTCACCTGCACATTTTCTCTGAGGTCTGTCGCCTCCCTGAGGGGCTGGGTAGAAGCTCTGAAGAGTTCATCCACTATCTTGATCCCCGTGGTCTTGGTGGTGGTATACTCCCGAGCCTTTCTACTTTTCTTCACAGATAGACCCCTTTTATGTGCCTTTCCTCCACCACGCCTGTTGGTGATGGCCACGTGAACAAACAGAGTGGTGTTGGGCAGGAACTCTCCTGTGAGGGATTGCAGAGGGACGTGTCTGTAGCCTGGCTGTAGGCACTCAAAGGGGATGGTGTACTGACCAATGAACTCATCTCCGATGTAGTCATCATCCAGCACCACAAAGCGTAGAACTGCAAGCTCTGGCAAGTTAATCTGGAACTCAAAACTTTCATCAAAAATAGGATTATCTCCATTTTGGGAAACTGTCTTGGTTCTTTGTTCGGCGCAGTCTGCTGGTATGCCATGGATCTCTACATATATGTAAGGCTCAACCACATCACCCTTGGCTGCAGAGCCCCGAGGCTTTGGAAGATTCTGTCCACTGATGACTTTGATGTGGAGAAGTTGTGCCGAAACTCCTGGTAGGGAGTCCCGCGCATTGGCACTGAAGTAGGAAACCTCCTCCCTCATAATGGCAGGACGCAAAACGTATCCACAGTTTCCATTTTGTCTGAACCAGCCAAGATTAAGGTCCATCATCAAGCCCGGTGTCTGGTAGTTCATTGCCACAATCTGACAGCCACATTTCCAGAAATCTTGTGGATTCATATTGCTGGCATCAATCCTCATAGATGTGGGGTATACCCTGGAGAGGAAGCGCTTGTTATAACTCACAAATTCCTCTGGAAATTCGTTGGCGAATCTGTTTGCATCTACCTCATTGAAGGAACAGATCTCCCAGTATTTCTGTTCCCTCTTAGAAAGTTCAAAGTCCCTGAACTGTACTGACTTGCACAGACACACAAGGTCAGAAAGCTCCCGGCACAGCCTGAGTCTTTTGCATCCCATACCATTCAGTTGGTCCTTCTCATCAGCTCCAACTCGGCGAGACATTTCCAGGCCCTCCTCCTCATCCGTTACATCCCCCTCAGATTCAGTGCAGCTGGGTGGCAGCTTTTTACTCTTTAGGAGTATTTTGCCTTTAAGTTTTTCAGGTGAGGGTAGGTAGTTTTCTTCTTTGTTGGGTGACTCAGCATACAGCTTATCCCCAAGAATTTTCTTCAAGTGTTGAGCCATTACCCTCTGCTGGGGGATATAGCAGTGGGTCACCAAGCAGAGAATAAGGGGATACTCAGAGCTTTCAAAAGCATATTGGTTTATAATATCCAGAATTTTAGAAAAAGCCAGCTGAGTAGCCACAGAACTTCCAACATATACCACTGGTTCATTATCCGGACCGTTCCATACAATGACCTCAATACTTCGACAACCCATCCTCAGAGCTCGGATGTAGCTGCTGATGTCTGATGAACCCCAGAAATGGTCATCAAGGAGGGAGGCATTATGGGAGGAGTTGATATAGTAATGAGATAGAGGCTGAGTCATATCCTGGCACACTTTTTTGTGCTGAGGGTCAAAAATATGGCATTCAGAGGACAGGAGGTAGTGTGTGAAACCATCAATGGAGAGGTAGCCTTTTTCCCTACCTTTGGCAGAGGGCTCAAATTTCTGAACAATATCCCTGCACATTTCCTCTGTAACTCCTTCCACACCTTGCTCCACCTCTACGAATAGCATCAGATCTTTACTGTCCAGGTACTCTTTATTACTAGAAAACTGAACCAGCAGAAAAAAAATCTCAGGCCGTGTGCAGAGCTCACAATAGGCCTCCACAAAAGTGTCCAAATTAATTGCTTCTCCATATTGGTCTTTAGCTTTTTGTAATTCTTTGAACTTTAGCTCTATCCTTGACTCTTTCATTCCAGGATTAAGCCCCTTGATTATCTGGGTTGCTCTGAACAGGTCTATGTGTCCTCCCTTTTCCATATCCGCCAGTTCAAAAACTGAACCAATCCAAGATGTTCTTAAGCTTGGTTGACTAGGTTCTGCCATGTCGACAGGGTGGCGACCGTAAGACACCAGGTATCTTAAGCCCATCACCCATGTGCTGACAATATCTGCCGTACTGGCTACTAAATCTAAACTCTCATAATTATCTCCATAGATGATTGAGAAGGCGCACTCATCGGGGAACTGATCTGAGAGACCATTGCTGCGGAGAACTGGAGTCTTTTTCCCCAAACGGACTTCCTTGATACTCTTGATTTCCAGTTTGGCCTTCTCTGAATCCTTTTTGGATGGCTCCCATCTGAGCCAGTGCATATCAGGATCTAGCAGGAAATAGCGGTTGTACATGCGGGAGTTGGAGCGCACCTTCTTCATCTCACAACCCTCCAACATAAAGGCCATGCACGCAGCAGTGCTGTTGATCTTACGGTCACTCGGCATAGAGCTGAAGGACACGGTTTTCTTCCTGACCTGTTTCTGCTTGGAGCCATCCTGCAAATCAATTAGGGTGGGGGGTTGGTAGAGAAAATTGTTTGGTTACAAACTGTTATCAAATTTGTAAACAGTGCTGAATAAAAACAAACAAAACAAAAAAACAGGATCAACTAGATAAAAAAAATATGTCATATATGATATTTAGACCACATTTATATCTTTAATACAGAAAATTATTTGTTCTGGCTTTTAATGGCCTAATTATACATATGATAAAATATATACTTTAAAAGGCAGACATTTCATGCTTCATTTTAACTTCCTTTGGAGACCAGTTCTGTCTTCTTTCAGTGAAACAAGATAATCTAATTCACTTCATAAGAGATTAAAAGCAGCTTTGGATGGGCACCATGCAGGGACTTAAATTTATATCATACTGTGAATACAGTTTAAAAATTTAAATGCATTAACATTTTTTATCATACTTTAAACCCACCAAAGAAAAAATGACTCACTTTTAATAAAGGTGCAACTATTTGCCTAAATATTTAGTGTAATGACAGCAGCTGTTTTGAATTCACTTTTTTGGGGTCTTAGTTAAAATAACAAAGACCTTTTCCAAAGTCTATGCTGCTTCTAGTTCAAAGGGGAGTTAAATGCCTCAGTAATTAGTTGAATATCTTTTTGCAAGTAGTCCAGTAAGGCAATTTATGACGTTTATTGTATATTGTGGAGAAAAAGTTTCCCACCTGCCGAAATTTTTTATGAAGCCTAACTCAAATTCATATTATTCCATAAAGACAAGGTGAAGCATAAGCTAACTGCTATCAAATCCTTAATGGTGAAGCTTTGCCCCAAACTGCTAGTTAATCAGTGAGGACAGGTTGAGCATGCAGTAAAATCTCACAAACAAACATAAATGTCTTTTAATGATCAATTATGGGGTTGTTTCACAAGTATAGTGAGGGAATCCATGTTACTCTTCACTGCAAAAGAGATCTTTTTGATGTATTATTCATCCTGTAGGCAAACTTTGATTTGACATCTATAGCCAGTCAGCCTCAAAGCAAAGACAATTTGCTCTATTTCTGTTTTTTCTTTAAAATCAGAAATAAAAGAAGAAAAAAAGTATGAGACATATATGCCACAAGGAATCATGAGGCAGATGGTTGTCAGCTTTCAGGTTTGGTCACCTAGCTGGTAGAAAGCAGACTGTGCTGCCCCACTTCCACACAGAGCTGTAGTTTCATAGATAGCCACACTTCAGGTGGCCTAAATCTTTATTTTCAAACTGGGTTTTTTAAGTAAGACACACCAAAAAAAAAAAACAAACAAAAAAAACACAATAAGCTTTATTATTATTATTATTTTACCATGGCTCAATGGAAACATGAAAGAAGTCCAGAAACATAAAACTAGCCTAAGTTTGTTTTTCCTTCTGTTTTTATATTGCTTTTCTTTTTTTATTTTTGCATGTACATAAAGAAAGTTGGGAAAGAGTAAAGTGCCTGAAGGCTTTCCCTGTCCTCCATCCAGGTCAGTAACTGCCCATATACATGTGATGGATTTCCATTGAACAAAGTCTAACTGTACCCACAGTGTGAGCACAGTGAACATTTTCAACACCATCTGCTTTTTGCCTGATAGTCAAGGACAGATGATGCCTGGAGACAGATCATGATCTATAAGCTCCAGGGCTGGAGAGAAATCATTATCATTACTCTTTGTCTCTTTTTTACAGTATTCTACGTAATTCTTTTCATAATCAACTTTATCCCAAATCGTATGTTCCAATATTATTTAGTTCAGCTGTATGTTTACTTGTCTTTGCATGTCACATCACCAGTAAAACAAATTTATTGTAAAATAAAGCATACTTTGCAATAAAGCATGTTTTGATTTGCAACTATCACTGTAATCTCATTATCTTTTCTTCTTCAGAACAGAGATGAAAAACTATCCTAGATTTTCTACTTGCACAGTTGGGAGTTTTTGGCATACACTTGTTCTCCAAGTTTGTGCCAAGTCCTCCAGGCATATGGTAATGCAGATACCATTGCCAAGATCAAGGGGGCAAGGATCATGCTGCTAATGCAGCTGGGGGAAACAAATTCCAAGTATTTCAAAGAGGTAATTTAGGAGCAATATTTTCTAGGGTCAATGGACCACTGCACCAATACATTATCTTTGCTGTTTCCTTGTTTCCTCCAAAAGCTGAGCCAAGAAAGAGCTCATATTTTAGACCAAAACCTCCTTCCAATTCTAGTTAGATATTCAGCAAATTACAGTGTCTCACTAAACTTGCTAGTTGATTGTATTAATGATATTAAGTTGTGGATTTCAGGCAATTTCCTTAATTTTAATGAAAGTGAAACAGAATGCATTATGTTCAGTGCTCCAGGTATGCAGAATGGCCCAGCTCTAAGTTTGGGAGCTTGGGAATCTTACACTAGATCAGTTGTTAAAAACTTGGGGGTTAGTTTTGTTTGCAGCATGAAATTTGGTAAGCAGATACGTAATGTTGTTAATTCTTTCTTTCTTTAAGCTTCTTTCAGTTTCAGCTGTTGGTTAAAGTTAAGCCTTTTCTAAGCAGGCGCGTCCTAGAAAAGGCCATTCCTTTGTAGTTCAAGGTTGGACTACTGTAATGCTCTTCATCTTGGTCTGAATCAGACGTCCATCCTTCTCCTTCAAGTTGTGCAAAATGCTGCTGCTCACTTTCTAACAAATACATCAAGACGTGCACACATCACCCCTATTCTCTATACCCTGCATTTGATCCCGGTGTGTTTTAAAATTTTTAAATGGTTTTTAAAGCTTTAAATGGTTTTGCCCCAGAGTATTTGTCTGAAATTTTACTTTGTAGAAGCACAACCAGTCATTGCGGTCTTCAAGTCCTAAGGTCAAGGTATAAACGGCGGGGTGATAAAGCTTTTGCGGTTGCTGCCCCGAGACTTTACAACTAGTTACCCAGGATATTTGCACTGTTACAGAAATTGCTCTTTTTAGGTTCAAACTCAAAAGAGTTTATGAAATAAATCAAAAAGAGTTTTTGAACTAAACCAATAAAAGGGGTTTAGGGGAGTGGAGCCCCATGGTTAGGGCATAGGGCTTGGAAGCCTGAGGTTGTGAGTTTGAAACTCACTTCCACAGACTGCCACTCTGGGTCTCTGAGCAAGACCCTTAATCACCAATTGCTCCCCAGGTGCCGCACAGTGGCAGCCCACTGCTCCCCAAGGGGATGGGTTAAACGCAGAGGTAAATTTCTCAAATGTGAGATCAATAAAGTTTAATTATAATTTTATATCTGTTCATGCTGGCTTTCAATACGTAATAGTGGTGTAACAATTTAATTATTTTGTTTCTTTGTAACCTTTCTGATTTTACTGTTTTATATGTTCACTCTTTCTATTGTAGGTTGTGACATTCCTAATTTTGTTAAGCACTTTGGGTACCTTCTGGTGGTTGTAAAGTGCTATAAAAATTAGCTTTGATTCTCCAGTTGTTTGCTGAATCATCTCCTACAGCATCATCAACACTGGCAGGGATATAAGGGGAAAACGAAACTAAACTCATACTGAGTAAGATGCTCTTTAAAAGGGATAATGAATCAAGGCTAATTATATCCAGGCCTTCTCTTAAAAGGTATTGCGGTAGCATGAGGCTAAAGGCTGTGAGAGTCTTTGGTTATTTTTACTTTTAGCCGAGTAGAGAGACAAGACAATATGCAATTACTGTCTAGTCAGACTACAGTCAGAGTTGTGTGGTTGTGACAGAAAGAATTTTGTATACATTTAAATCAATGTTTGTTGATGAGTTTCTGTATATAAAGCAGCAATGTCTTTTTTACTTAATTTGTACACTTGGATAATTGTTTAGTCCGTTTAGGTTTTTGATTTTTTTGCCCATTCAAAGAAAAAAAAACTAAATCAGATTTTTTTTCCTCAGGATTGCCCTGTATTTGCTCTCCAAATTTCTATTAACAGCCAAAAGAAGCCAAATCCCTGTAAGATGCTGGTGTCAGTTTTAAACCAAACATAATCTAGGTCAAAAAATTCAGTTTTGATCTTATCTGGCGTGGTTTATAAAAAACTGCAGAGGGGCTGTCTCTCAACACTTTAACAACATTTTCTCTGTCCCTTAGCAGCCAAAATGTGTCGACTTCTCAACCAATGGCTGACTTTTCACCAGATTCTTCAACAAAAGCTGTGGATTTCTGCAGCTCCCACAGAAATAAGATGAGCCTCTTAGCAGTTCTGTCAGATTACATGAAAAGATGTGTTTTAATGGTTTGCAGTTCTACTTTTTCCCATTTTCAGTCCTCCAGGAGGTGTTCAGTACTTCTTTTTTCATACAATAACCCTACTTTTGCCTTCTTTTCAAGTCCCTGTCGTGTCTGCTGTGTCCCTTGGTCATCCATGGTGCTGCATGTAAACACGTGTGCATGCATTTGCACAGACTACTGAGATAAATCGATTTTCACTTGTAACACTCTTTTGTAATTTTATCTTGTAAACGTGTCCCTATTTTAAATTGCTGTTATATTCTTTTGACTCCACTGTCTGACGCTCTTGCAGTGATGTAGGGGTACTCAGGAAATCAATCACACCTTCCCCATTATGCTGTCGATGGGGTCAGTGGCAGCTCTTGGCGAGGTCAACCACTTCCTGATGCAGAGGTCAGCGTTCTGGGGGGTGGAAAACAAGCCCCACTCTGAGCTCCCAAAAATCATTTGAGGGGGATTACACCTGAAATTTATTTTCTTTTTTTTTTTTTTTTCACAACCTGAGGCTTGGCGCCATATAATGCATGGAGCTTCACCCCTGGGAGCCAATTAACTCATGCAGGTTTAAGCTCTCTTGTATAGCAACAGCAACAGCTCACCAGCTGCATTCTTTCCCAACTGAATCAAGTACAGGAAAACAAAAACTCTTCCTTTTCTTGAAGGGAAAGTGAGTGCAACATACTTACCCTCATCTTAAAATCAGATTAGAAAGACATTGTGATATCATCTGTCTGCATTGCTTCCCTTGCTGTCTGCAGCTCTTAAATGCACATAA